GGCAGATGTATTCACAACAGGTTGAACCCGCTCACAGAGACCGAAAGTTTAATGTTGCATGGGCCGGTATACGATTCTGACCGTATGATAACCTTGAATAAATACATCAGGGTTTCACGCTATAGTGATTACTGCTCTAAAATATGAAATGTCTGGTAAAAAACAACAACTTTTTCCCCTTTGTGCACAAAATATACACAATATATTTTACTTTGAGAAACATTTCAAGTATTTTGGAGCAGTAAACATGTCAGGCTAATTAATTCAAATGAATCCTTGACTTCTGCTGTCTTCATTAGTTTCAAACACACATATTTCTTTACAATTAAAACAGCATCTTTTGATATCTTTTCTGCTGGAGATACTGTCCTAAAACAAAAAAAAATGTTAATAAAGAATCTTACAAATACCTCAATATTTTGGAGGTTTTAAAACCTTGACTTTTCCAAACCACGGTATAACTTAAAAACGGTTACCATGCCCTGCCTACTCTACACTTCTCTTTCATTCGTTAATTATTTTTTAATGACAGCTCTTTGAGAAATCATCATCATTACCTAACACACATCATTTAAAACCTGTACGACTTTCTACACTTTAAAATTTCTATGTAAAAACCGTACTGTAAAAAAATGCTGGGTTCCACACAATTCCTTCATGTTGTCCCCACACAAATGGATTAAATTAACTTAATAAGTTGATTGAACAAATTCATTTTCAATAAAACTAAACAATTGTGTTGATTAAGCTCATTTTAAGTAGTTTGAACAAGCAGCAAAAAACTTTTTTTCGTAATGTCAGTGTGGTTTAAAACAACATTGGAGCCTAATAACTTAGGGCCCATTTACACTATTACGTTTTAGTTTTAACAGCATTTTAGAATAAAAATGATCCACACTGGCGTTTCTGACGGTGACGATGATGGCCATTTAAATATGTAGCTACATGACGCCTCAACATTTCTGGTGTCAGTTAAGTTGTTAATATCAAAATGAAAATGGGCAGTTCTTTATATCATGTTTTTATTTTATTGTTAAGATTAAGTGAAACAACGCGGCAGGGTGATGCGAATAATGTTATAAAGTACACTGTTCCCTTTGAAGACCTGTCCTCGGAAGTTTGTTTTCTATATCAAAGTGTCAATGTCTCACAAGAAATCTGAACTTAAGAGGAAATTATGCAAGACTGAACTTTGTGCACTTAATATTGAGGGAAAAGCCTAAATCAGATAGACGAATATCTGCAGCCACACCTCAGTTTTGTCTTGGTTTTCCCCCATCCACATTGACACAGAGAAGCAGTATTTTAAAACCAAAATGGCCTCGTCAGCGTTTCCAAAATGCTTCGTTTTCGGGGCTTAAAAACTCAGGGGTAGTGTGGACGGAAGGCAAAATTTGTGTGTTTTAAAGTGAAAACATATTAGTGTGAACGGGGCCTAAAACTATATGAAAAAGGAGAAAGAAAATCAGTTTCCTTTTGAAGATTGGTGTTTAATTTTGTTTAAAACATTTTCAAAGAGTGTGCATGAGCTAAACAGGATGTTTAACTGCTGCTTTAGATGGTTATATGTGCACACAGAAGTTGCTGATTAAGACTAATTGTGCAGCACAAAGTGTTGGGTAAATGAACAAACCGGTACGCTTGAATGCACACTCACACACACATAAGTAAAGTACTTCAGTAGCATTTTTTGAGCTAATGAGAGACAGATTTCCAATTAGCTCCTCATCTCCTCCCTTAGCACTGGAAAAAGGCCAAAACACACAGGCACATTCATACATATATCATGGATTCCCCTCTTACTTTGTTCTTTTAAAAAAAGTCCAAAAGCGGAAAGAAATGGAGTTAATTTGCAGTCGTTCACAAGAAAATTGTTTCTAAACAGCTAGAGTGTTTTCTTGATAAGCGAGTGGCTGGCAAGAACTTGAATGTGCTGAAATTATATTAATTTGCTGCTAGAAGAATTTGATGACGTAACTGGGAAGCGAAGCGAGTCCTTATTTTGTTGTTTGTGTGTGCGTCTGATTGGGTGTATAGTGTGTGTGACACATTAAGGGAATAAAATATAACCTGGAATCTCTGCCTCAATGTGATAATTGTCCCAATGATTAGCTACTTTATTCTGTGTCTGTCGCTTTCTCTCTATTCCCAGCAGACTCCACTTCTCTTTTCTTCCCTCAAGGCAGAGGAAGGGAGGGGAGGGGTGTCACTTTTACATTTTTCTCAGTCCAAATTATAGCTGTGAACCATGCAGATAGGAACAGAATTATACATCTGAAACCAGCAGTAAGTCTGTGCGTGAGCGCGTATGTGTAGTTGTGTCTAGAAGTAATTAAATTTACATAATTGTGTCAACAGAATAAATCAGTGAAGCTCTTGTTCCACCAAATGTTTCTTCCAGAGAAAACGCAGCGGTAGCTTTAGCGTTCAGTAAACTTTGCATTTTGCTGATATAAATATCAGAGTGCTGAGGGGTGGAGAACGCAGACAGAGTTATTTTTTTTCTTCTAATTTTACAGTCCTTCAATTATATTTCGCATTCAGTCTGAGAGAAGTCCGACCTAAGACACAAATGGCACATTATTATGGGAACGAGAGAGATATGTGTGTGTGTGTGTGTGTGTGTGTGTGTGTGTGTGTGTGTGTGTGTGTGTTACTACTGAGAGTCTGGTAAGAGGTTTAAAGGGTGACTTAGTGGTGGTGGACGCTCCCATATGTCCGCTACAGAGAGTGTGTTTGCCCAAGGCCCATATGTCTTTATGAGAGTGCTTAAGATAATCTTTGAGTTCAATGATTAATTCATCCACACAACTTATGTATATGTAGTTACTGTGCTGATTTGTAATGATATGTAGGATTGAGATATGCAGACATGTCTCTTGTAAAACATTCACCATCAGTTACATCCAATTCCAATATTTTCTTCCTATAAACTTAACACACTTTATTATATATTTGCTTCATATTTGAGAGGATCTCTGAACCTGTGACTTAGTAAAACACACAAGCTTGTGCACAGGTGCATACACACATTCTGTGAGCAAATAAACATTAACTAGTTAAAACAACATGCAGCAACTGTGGTAAAACAGACCAGGCCGGTTCGAGCATCTGCTGTGCCGTGGAGCTCAAAGCTGCTTCAACGAGTAAAACAATCCACACACAGAGGGGCTCCGGCGACTGAGCTGAAGTTTTCTTCTCGCAGGACAAGAAGCTCAGATGTTGTTGGTTTTTAAGATCTCGTTAAGTGGTTAATCTCTGATATTAATATTGATTATTTTTGTATTATTATTTATTAACTCAATTATTTTTATATACTCCCATGTGCTTGCATGTCGCAAACAAATAGGCTACATATTTTATTCAGAGTTTGTTTTAAACTTGCAAATTGTAAATAGATAAATAAAGGAGAACTTTTAATATAATATATAAATTAGGGAGCAGTGTTTGAAAATTTTAGGTTACGAAAAGTTTAGTTTAACTATTTTAGTTTATAAGTTTTTGAAATATAGTTTAAGTTGGCCTACAGGCTTAAATATCTTCAAATTTGATTTATTTGATTTTTAAGTCGTACATAACATTTATGTTTGAGTGTAAATAAACAAAATACTTGTTAATCATTAATTATGTAGTAATTACATAATTTTTTTAAAGTTTTACCCAGACAGATGACTGTTTTTCCACGTCCTCCTTCTTTACTCAGTTTACGCATGAGAACAGTAAAAATGGAAAAACAAAAACAACATAAATTTATGCTCATTCGCAATTTACGGTGCGGTTTTACATTTAAAGGCACAATTTATGTTTACGCGTCGCCCCTCGGGTTCTCACATGCTAAAGTTTTCGAGTTTTTCGTACATTTTTTTACAAGCCCAGCCGAGAGACTCCTTAATTAAAATATTCCCCCCGAGATGAAAAACACATGTGCACTATTCCTGTCCCCCTGTTTACGCTCATAACTCAGCGGCTGTGTCTCAAACCCTTTGGAGCTGCCAAGCAAGAAGTCCCCAAAATGCAATTTGGATGCCCCAAATATGTTGTCAGGGTAGGCAGTTCATTAGGTTTTGAGACAGAGCCAGTGTCCCACACAAAAGAACAAAACAAACCCATCACATTAATCAACTAACAAGTCTAAATAATAATAACTCTTTTGGATCATATATAAATCACTAAGCTTGGCTACATATGAGAGTACACCTACATAACTTTTTTTAGCAAAAGCAACTCAAACAAAAAACATTCTTTATGATTCTGTTGAGTCAAGCTTGTGGCGTCTCCAGCCATTATTCAGGTTAAGTAAACATGTTGGACGCTCCCTTGAACGTTTTATGAGCAGCAATCAGGGAGATTTTATGAGCGTCTAGGAAACTCCTGCTTAAAAACCTATTAACTCTCTCGACACAACTCTGATTTGATCAATATGACAGACGCGAAGAGCCACCGGGCCGCCGGGATTAGGGCAGGCCGGTGGCGGAAAGTCAGCTCGTCTCTCATGGGAAAAGAGGAAAAGATGGACTAGCCGAGAATAATGAGAGAAAGAGTTTTCCTGCTAACCACAACAACACTAGACAGTAGCAGATTTATTTATTTCTCAATTCTTTTTAGAAGTCTCTAATGAAGGCCCGCGTCAAGGCCACACGCTACATTTATATTACGGAGAAGCCAAGACATTTACATTTCGATGTTTCCAATAAACATTTAACGAAGTTTAAGTAGCATAGCATTGCGGTCGATTTGACTAAGGGTTTTGCGAGTCGACGAGCAGCAGCGGTGGAGTCTCCTATATGACAGCTGTGCGTTATGTGTGATATATCCCGGGAGAGCGCGCGCCTGCACGGTCACTTCAGACTCGAGCTTCATGTCATCACGCCGGACAGCGAGTAACGGCACTTTCAGGTCAACTACTCAAACTGTGTGTCAATTTCACAAGCGCTCCAAGTCAAATCTAAGACCGTAGGCTACATTTCTAGAGGACTTTAAACGCGAGCTCGTGCACTTACTTGGGATTTTGCGAATTCCACACGACCGACTCCAGTGATTTGGCTGCGGGTAACGCGTATCTGCACATGGCTGTCAGAATCCAGAGGTAATATTTCCACGAGCCGTCACTTCCAGCCATCGTATACGGTTCTCGGAGAGACACAAAGACAGCAAGAAGATAAGATCCTTTCGGTCGACCGTACTCCGGGTTGCCGAACCACATGCAACAGAGCGGGTTATGCGTCCAGGCGAAGGGGCTCCATGGGGCTCAACTTCCAAATCCAATGTTTCAAGCGTTGCCTGGATGATATAAAAAGGTGTCGCACGTTTCACAAGTGGCTTCTGGGCCAACGCTTCTCTTATAACCAAAATCGCTGCTACCTTGCACTCAGGTAGACACCAACGCGTGACTGTTTTATTGTACTCATCTATTAGTTGAGCTATAGCCTTACAAAAGGTCAAATCACGCCAGATAGGGGGTGGGTGACATGCACACAGGTATAAGAACCATCAATCCCGTGTTGGGGTTCGGGTTGGTGCTCAGATCCGGTCCTGATCATGTGTCAGATTCAAAATTAGACTCCTTTCAGATTTGATCCCAGATCATTACGGTGCGTATATGCAACAGTTTTGTTTTGTTTGTTTGTTTGTTTTTTTTGTCCGAAATTTACCGACCTATATCCATGTTCAAAGTAGCCAGGAACAAATCTCAACTGTCAGTCACAGGACTGCCAAAAATATCTGTCCAGTTCCATTGGGATTTTCTTTCCAAAAGAAGATGTAAAAAGTAAACTCCCGAGTTGTGCGGCTTCTTCTATTGTATGATCTGGCGTTTTCAGTCCATGCTGATAGAAGGGGTATCAGCTACTGTCCGCTCCAGGCTCGCGTGATGAAAGGTGCACACACACAGTTTCGTCTCAAGCACATAAACAGATGGGAAACTCCAGCAGTTCGGTGCTTCCTCTGCGAGTTAAATGACGCGTCTTTTAGCCTTGGATCTTGTTTAGAGTTTTTCGGAGCTCAACCGTGGATCCGGTGCGTCCGCAGTCAGTCCCGCACACCGTTCACAACGCAGTGGCTTGTGATCCATCACATCCACTCCCACCGAGCCGCTAAGCCCCGCCCCAATTCCAAAATCAACCAATCAACGCGCACGTTTAGTGCGACGTCGCAACACGGTGTCCCTGCCTGTACATCCAGTTTCAGAGTTGATCTGCGAGATTGATGTACAAAACATATAGCGAGTCTTGACATTTTTAAAGGTAAGTTCCTTAAAAGTGTTTGAGTTTAAAATACCAACTGTCTTCTTTCTGCAGATCAACTGTCTGTTTTTGTTAAGATGGCTGTAACTATGGTTACTCCAGTAAACCACGTTGGTTCAAGTATATCGCTTTAGTTTGCATGTTTTCGCCAGGATATGTGCTTCTGGACTCATTTATTATATATAAGTCTATTTAATATTCACAGCAGTTCACGGCTTACAGCTGAAAAACACAGGTCTCTACACTATAAGCGTTTAATAACAGATTTAGAATCATTATCCCAAAGACATCCAAGAGAGTGACACTAATGATATTTGATGGTCAAACAAAGATAACGCTAATCCTTTCAGTAGCCAATACCGCCCCCTATCGGCGTTAAAAATCTGTTATTAAATGTTAAACCAAATGATTTAGTTTTAGGGGCTTTTATGTCCATTAAAACATTATTAGAATAATAATAAACGTGTAATAAAATATGAAGTGACTCTGAAAGAAGCTGGTTTATATATTTTTTATCCCCTCTTATCTACAGGCAAACTGAATTCAAGTAACGTTTATGACTAATCTTTGCGTCCACTTCCTTTTATAAAATGTAATTCTGTATGACATATGGTGTCTTGTCAGTCTGCTCTTCAACCAGTCAGTTTGTGTGTTTGTGTGTGTGTGTGTGTGTGTGTGTGTGTGTGTGTGTGTGTGTGTGTGTGTGTGTGTGTGTGTGTGTGTGTGTGTGTGGTTCTTCATAGAGCCATATGTCTTGAGGAGGCTTGGTCCTCCGGCGTGTGTTTAGATAACATGAGTGTGGTGGAGCTTTTACTCTTTGAGCTCTTGTGTGTGTGAAATGTCAGTTTATTCATTACCCACATTTAGATCAGGTCTGAAAGGCCAGCCACCCATTTAGAAGTGATATATACACAGTCATGTTATCTGTTTATGGCTGCACGTCATCAGCTCTGGCTCTGAATTTTCAGTAATAGGCAGGTTTTGGTGTTTTCTGTTCATGCTACAGTTTTCTGTGGAATGTTTACATGTCCTTTTGCATAAGGACAAATGTCTGACCTTTTCCTATTTTCCTCAGAGCTAAATATAGCCCTAACCTTAACCTGATTATTACAAAGACATTTCAGCTTGTCCTTTTTTTCCCTTTTTTATCCTATTTTTTTTTAAACATGATTTTTGTGTATCAGAGATGATCAAATGTTTAGTACTGCTAAACCCGAGCTGCAAATGTTTGTTGCAACTAGCTCAGAGAAAGCATAACCACACAAACTCCCAAGAAGAAATTACCGGAGTGCATTTGTCAGCAGTTATTCACTAAAATGGCCACACTGCGGTCTACACACAGTTACTAATAAACCTAAAGCACACATTGACGCCCTCACCCACACATAAGCACGTTGAATTTGTGTAAAACATTTATAAAAACACAGACATGCCTACACAAATAGCATATAAACTACAATTAAAATGTATATTTGTAAAATATTTGTAACAATGTATAACAATGATTATATAAAAAAACGCTAGCCATATTGTAAGTTATTGCTACAACACTTAAATAAATAAATACATTTCAAACGAGTATTTATTATTTTTTAGCAGAATAGAAGATGTGAAATTATATATAGAGAGAGATTTTTGATGTGTCATTCATTCCACCAATGGCAAATTTGAATTTGAGTAATGCTTATTTGGTGCTTAAGAAACTATTTTATTGTTATAAATGTTGACAACAGCTATGCTGCTTTTTGTAGTTGTTGTGGAAATAGGGTTTATGTTTAAATTTACCTAATTTACTTGAAATAGAAATATTGTTGACATTATAATGATCTTATTATCATTCATAAAGCTACATTCACACTAATACATTTACATGACTACTTTAAATGTACTTTGTACATTTAAGTGTACATTGAAAGTTGAGTACTTTAACTAAAGCTCATTATTGTTACCTATTAGCTCATTACTATACCTAGATATAAACTATATTTACTTTGTTTTTTAAACCAATATGTTCGATTAATTAAATATCATCTTTTTGGTAAATTACATGCATAGATATAAGTATTAGGCATGGGCTGGTATAAGATTCTGACGGTATGATAAACTTGGATAAAAACATCACGGTTTCATGGTATTGTGATTATTGCTCTAAAATATGTCCTTTTTAAATGTTTAGGTAAAAAATACTAAAACCTTTTTTTTCCATTTGAACACAATATATTTTATTTTGAGAAATATTTATAATTTTTTGGAGCAGTAAACATGTCAGGCTAAATAATTCAAATCAATCATTGACTTCTGCTGTCTCCATTAGTTTCAAAACACACATTTCTTTGCAATTTAAAACAACATATTTGGAGATCTTTTCTGCTGCTGATAATGGTGTCCTAAAAAAACAAACTTTTTAAAAAATCTTACAAATACAATAGGAACAATGTAACAGAAAATTTTGCGGTTTTAAAACCTTGCCTTTTCCAAACCACAGTATACCTTGAGAACTGTTACCGTCCTATGCCTAATAAGTATAGGGAAAAAGTAGTAGGAACTGGTTTGCAACTCAGTTTGAATGGTTTTGTTCTGTTTCCTGAATGCAGTGAATTGTTTGTTGCAGTGTTTTCAGTGTTTTTTTAAATTGACCATGGATATACAGTCAGTCAGTGGAAACCAAATGCATTATATTGTTTGCCAGGCAGCGAAAACCAACTTTATTAGTTTGGACACTGCATGGTGTCTGTGAAGGATTCCAAGGGTTTACATACGATTTCATTTAATACAGATAGTACATTAAAAATATATAAAAACAGTAAAAGTATTACTCACAAAGTATGCAATTATGACCTGAAGTGAACACCCACCATTTGCATTGTGATGAGTTCTAGTGGGCTATCAGTTTGTCCTAAAAAAGTTTTGCCTTTGCTTAGACACAGTTATACTTGCTTGGTAAATATCTATTTGATTACATTTAAAAAAAACGGATCTTTCTATTTTGTTCTCCATTGTCAAGTGGTTCCTTTATAAATTCATTCAAGCAAAAAAAAAAAAATCTGCATTGTTTCTTTTTTTATCTTTTTTAATAATACAAATGAAGCTCTACACACACATATAATCTGAAGTAACTTGTAATTTACAACATGATTTGTGGATACTTTATAACTATTCGTCAAGAGTTAAAAACTTTTACGTTTCAAGTTTTTGGGGTTATTAGAGATCCCCTGAAGTAATGTGTTAATTCTAATAATAATCATTTGTATTATTCAATGAATAAACTGTTAACAAAATAATGACTTGTCATTAACCATCCCAGTTTTCACTGAATGTGTGCAGTTTAACAGAATGCACTCGCACAATTCACTCAAAGCAATGTGGGTCATAGAAAAAAGGTGGATACCATACACCCAGTTTTCTTGTGCACACATGCTTAAAGTTTAGGCATTTGTTACCAGACGGAAAAAAAAGTTGAGACAAATCGACTGGGTGGTGACAGTGGCTTAAAGTGATTCTGCCCTAATGAGCTCTTCCGTTTCCTTCTCATTTGTTCCTAGTTTTGCTAATTGGCATCATTGTTTGTTAAGCTAAGTTAACATTCATGTCTGCAAAGCATGTGTAAAAAAGCGCATGTGTTTGTGCATGTATGTGTGGGCGAAGACCTTTACATTGTGTAATGATGTTGAATTTGGTTTTGGTCCAAAATACAGTAGATTAACTGTGTTTTGGGATAGTTTCACAGGAGAAGGTATGTGTGTGTGTGTGTGTGTGTGCACAGTACATCTTGTATTCCTTACATTGTGGGGACCAAATGTCCTTACGTGTATAGCAATACCAAATACTGTCCAAAATACAGTAGATTAACTGTCCTCTGGGATAGTTTCTCTGTAGAAGGTGTGTGTGTGTTTGCGCGCACATCTTGTATTCCTTACATTGTGGGAACCAAATGTCCCCATGTGTATAGCAATACCAAATATTGTCCAAAAACAATACATTAACTGTACTTTTAAACTGTTTTGCTGGAGGTGTGTGTGCGTGCAATACTTGTATTCCTTACATTGTGGGGACCAAATGTCCCTGTTTGTAGCAATACCAAATACTGTCCAAAAACAGCAGATTAAATGTGCTTTTGGATAGTTTAGCTGAAAAAGGTGTGTGTGTATGCACCTTGTATTCATTACATTGGTTTACCAAATGTCCCATGTTTAGCAATAGCGGTACATTTTGACCTTGTTGGACCTTTTTTGCTCCTCATGAGGAAAATGGCTTATAACATAATAATAAAGTATTTTGAAAATGTCAAAATGCAAATTTTTTGTGGGGGTTGGGTTTCGGGGTAGGGTTGTGGTAGAGGGACAAAATTTACAACTTGTACAGTATAAAATTCATTACATCTATAAGTCCTTACAAAGATTGCTGTGTGTGTATGTGTGTGTGTGACGAGGAGGTGGAATGACGGTAATGGAGGAACTCAGGAGGGTGTTGATGGAATATTCAAGCAGATAATAGAGCAATTTCACACACACCCCCCGTCCCAGCGCACACACTTCACTCTCTCATTCTCTCTCACCCACACTCAGTCAGTAGGGAATCATGAATGACAATCCAACACTGCCCCACCCAGAAAGCCCCCGATAGGCCCTGCTCAGCACACTGAGAACACAGCATTACAACAAAAACACTAGCACAGACCAAAAAAAGACACACACCTACACATGCATAGACTGATTAGGAAAAAAAAAGACGACAGGCAAATCCAGACACCTACACACACACATGGACCTGCGTTTCGTGTGCCAGTCCTCTAGGATGAGTGTGTGTATATCTGGGAACGCAGCCATAGGCAGATGATCTGGTTGACTCTGTGAGGAATGGACTCAGAAAACTTTAGTGTGTCAGTATGCGTGAATAAGTGTGTGCGTGCGTGTCTGAACCGGTAAACTTGGCGTGAAATTGTGGTGGCGACTGTGACGGATCTTCATTTCCACTCTGACAGTGGTGCTCACACACACACA